CCCCTCAGCCGCCCCCTCAGCATCCATCTCCGCGTCCACCTCTGCCTCCGTCGTCGTCGCCGTCGCCTTCCCCTTCGCCGGCGAACCGCGACCCAACAGCGCACGCACGGGAACCGGCTGAAGCGGACGCATCTGTTATGCAACCTGCGCACTGTGCTCGGCCAAAAGCCCGCCGGAAACCCCTTTTCTAATTAGCCTCATTTTAAAATAAGCAGAATTACTTACGATGTAAAGGTAAACGTATGTTCAAGGTCGGACACAGGGGTTGTTTAGAGGTGCCGGCCGGGGTTAATTGCCCGGAGGTCCCCGTGAGCTATCAGGTGTATCGCCGTCGGCTGTCCGCAGCCCCGTGCGGTCGAAAATCCCTCTTATGCACGTGCGCTACCCGGCGAACCTTCTTGCAGAGCTTCTGCCATTGCCTGCGCGCGTGCCAGCTCCTCCTTCCTTTCGGGCACGTTCACTTCTTTTGAAGACTCCGCGCACCTTCTCCGCTTGCACTTCTACCTCCGCCCCTTCCCGATCAGCTGCCACAGCTTCCTAATAAGTCTTGCCTCCTCCTCCTGCTCCTCTGTCTCCCCCTCCTCGTGCTCATATGTCTCGTTGTCTTCGCCCTCTTCCTTCTCCGCTCCCTCCTCCTCTCCTTCCTCCTTTCAGTCGTCTTTCTCTTCTTCTCCCTTGGTCTCCTCCATCTTCTTCTCACCTTCCTCCTCTGCTCTCTTTCCTTGCTATCCTTTACCTTGCTTCCATCTCAGTGTCTTTGTGTATTCTTCTTTTTCTGCATCCTTTTCCTCCTCTCCCTCTTTTCCTCATCCTCCTCCCCCTCCTCCTCCTTCATCCCATCCACAGCCTCCTCCTCCTTCTTTGGGTTTTCCTCCTTCTCCTTTTCGTTTGCCCCTCTCTCCGTTTCCCTTTCCTCCCCTCCGTTTCCTTTTCCTCCTCCTTCCCTTGCCTCCCAACCTGCCTCTTCCTCACCTTCTGTATTAGCATACGCCTTTTCAACCACCTGGTTCTCCTTTTTCTCCCCTCCACCACTTTCCGTTTATTTTTTCGCCTCAACATGCACCATCGCAAACCCAGCCACCTTTCTCTCTATTTATTCTTCTCCGATTTCCTCCTCTGGTCCGCTCTCCGTCCTCCGCGCGCGCGCCTCTAATTACGTGCGCGGGCGCAGATAAAGAGCGGCGCGCGGGATTTTAAGCACATTAGGGTTAATTAGGAAGCGCTTCCACCAGAGACGAAGTGGCTGCGCGGGGTAATTCCGAGGCCGCGAACAAGCGATGGCGCCCGATTGGCCGACGACGCGACGGCGCCCGCGTCGCGTCGCCTCGCGCTGTGACGATAGCAGATCGCTCGCGTTCGCCGCTTGGCACGTCGGCGGTCACGCCACCTCGCGGCGGCGCGCCCAACCGAGATAGGAGTTGATAACGTGGTTATGTGCGAAAGGAAAAAAACAACAACAAAAAACTTCACTTCACGAACGCAATCGTGTATCGTCGCACGTGCAACACATCGCGGAACTAGAAAGACAATTAGTTTACATCTTTGTCGAAAATGAGATTTTGACACGTTTGAACTTTTTTTTTTCAGTGCATGACATATTAAATCGGTTTTCATTTCAGTCTTATAGAAAACCTTCTATGATGAAAATGGCAGAGAATTTTGGTGTTATTAAACAATATATTTAAAATACTCTAAAATATCCGCAAGGTCACATATAACCATTTGACCGCGCACTAGGGAGGCAACATATCGCATTATTGTCATTTTAACTTAAGGAGAGCCGTTTATTTCCTGATCAATTACAAAGCCTTATACAGTCGTTCTTCACAATCTTTGCGGAATTTTTACTAGTAAAAATATACTCTTTCGTAAATGGATTTATTCACTTAATTAAAAAATTGTAATTTTTGAGATGTGGCTCTACTTCTGCAATGTCCGTGTCCAACAGTCCACATACTCGGCACAGGATGGGCTAATGATTTATGTGATTTTTCCAGCGGATGAGGACTCATCGAAAACGTTTGGAGTAAAATTTATCTTAGGCGAAAAGCAGTGACAGAAATTCTTTCTTTTCTTGAAGTTCTCCAAGGTCACCGCAGTCTCAACATTCTGGGCGCGGGGACTCGCCTCGACAACGGTCATTCGTATCAACGTTTCGCAGAGAATCGCAATATAAACAAAATCTCCTGTACAAAATATTATAATATGGGAAGCCACCAATATTCAAGAATTTTCCTTTCTATAAATCTATAATAATTAGTGAGCGTACAAAGACGTATCGCGGGGAAATTAATGTATTTTGTACCGATCAGCCGAAAAGCATTTAGAAATGATAAAATTAAATGATGTTAAGTAGAAAACACTCTACAAATACTAGTGGTTGATAATTTAAGAGCATTTTTAAGACCAAACGCCAGCTGTTTTTTGCCTGCACGGGAACACTTTTTGTCCAAGAAATCTCAAAACTTCGCAAATAGAAGCTAGTTAGTAACTTTATTAGCATTCTCTTATTATATTGTTAATGCAATACACGAAGGGGTTATTGAACTTCAAGTATGCGAATGATATGACCAAAACAAACACTGACATATGAAACGAAATATGTTGAAAACATACTTCAAGAAGTTTATAACATCATTAAACAAACATGAAACTTCAATAAACATACCTTCTGAATTCAATCCAACCTCAAATCCAACGATGACTCCAAAATGATGACAAATCCAACCATGAATGTCGAGCCCGAAGACGTAACAATCGGAGATAATCACCAGTCCGCAATACACGTATTCACAATGCAAACGTAGCTGTTCCATGTTCACTATTTATATCGAAAACGATTCCCACGATATATTTAGAACTTTCTTGAAAACATTCTTATACCATTTCATATAATGCTCAATAAGCATCGTCATCACTTTCTTCTGGCATATTGCAGAGTTTGCAAGTGCGATCAACAAATAGTTTATGTTTTCTCCACCTTCTTACACAAAATATACTGTTTTAATTGTTCACGACTGATTACTATTAATCCATTCTACTGATGACGCAATTCAAGTAGGGTTATAAACACACGCACTATTAGAAACTTCCACTTCATCGCGCACTTTTTCTATCAAAATTACCACGCCCTCTCTTCGCTGCGCCGTCACCCCAACTGATTCTACTACTATTATCGGCAAGAAAATTGGAGAACCAATCACAGAGAAGGCCACAGGTCCGTTGCGAGTGCAGGTTCGAACTAGGTAGCGCCCCTTTCGAACTCGGAGACACAGTTCGGTCTCCGAAACAGGAGGTTTTGCAACCACATACTCTGGCAATTACTACATTGTTGACCGAACTGGGAAAAAGGGAAGATATATTATTTAAGGTGGTAAGGGACATGTTAACTTTGTGTTATACAAGGTACGAATATAATTATTAGTTATGCGACGAAAATACTTAGTATTTTTCTTCGTTGCATCAAGAGCGACGTAATATTAATAATAATAATAATAATAATAATAATAATAATAATAATAATAATAATAATAATAATAATAAACAAATCAATAGACAGCGATGGACCAAAGACAAACATATTGCGTGAGTTACATTTCTCTCTGCCAATGTTCAAGGCCAAGAATCAGACGAAATTCCATGCTTTTGCGAAACGTCGCTACCAACCACCGTTTAGTGATTTTACTCTTCGAAAAATATTTTCTGAACCAGGGATCTTATTGAAAACCACAGCAGAGGGACAATAGGGAATAGCGATAGGGCCAGAGGCTGAGCAAGGTGTAGCGCCTGGTTCAAACACCAAGCGTTTTGAGCGTGCTCTGTATCTTTCAGAATACATTATTATCTACTTTCAGATATATCCGAAGCTTATTAATTTCATAATTTATACTCAGATGATTAAATATCTGCTAATTTAAACAGCTAGTTCAACTCATATTTATATAATGTAAAATCTACGAAGTGTTTTTATATAGTACGAGTGCCCAATGCTCTTTATTTGTATGAATAAGCTATCGTTGTGATCGCGGCTATTAGTGATTATTTGTTGAAGAGAATATCCTACATAATCTTTAATTTGAATTTTCATTTGCTGTCAAAAGGGTTATCTCTTTCTCGTGATATTCACATACTCACAGTACTACCAGAATCTTTCGAGATGATGTGGAATGGACGTCTATTTGACATGGACGAAATGGTACGGTCCGTGGCCGAGTGTTTATAGTACTACCGAGGCACCCTCATGAAATTGATGTGACGTCATCTGTAAAACCAGCAATCAAGCAGCAGACCTCTAGAATTCTAATGTATGTTGTGACGTCGGTCGTCTGTTCCAGTAATGCCGTTCCTGGATTGCAATTCTGACACAATAAACGAGTGAAGTTAAAAAAATGAAATGTACAAAGTGTTCCTTGGCGATTGCGATGCTCGTGCCACCTACTTTATCATTGATGGATTACGGAGATAACATTATTAAAAGGCTTCTAAAGAGTTATATTAATAATAATCTTAATAACTATAAAATAATAATTTAAAAATGGTTATAAAATGATTATGAAATGCTTATAAAATAATAGTCACAATCCAAAATTAAATATTTTCCGAGTAGTGCGCATGTTGCAGTTCCTGGTCGACAGAGACGGTGTCTAAAATTCGCCATTACCGTGATTTGAACTAAGGAACTCTCTATCATCAAAACGTCAATAGTGAGTTCTACAACTAGACACAATACTAACGCATCAGATCCTATTGTATTTTCATAGAGTACGGTATTATTTCAACTTTGGAAAGAGTTACAGAAGTTTAAGTATTTCACTTGAAGTGATTCGTTATTTTAAAAGATTCAGAATTAGATAAAAATTTGTATCATCTTGCTATGTAACCAGCGCAATTTAAACGAAGTACCAGCGCTTCGCACGCTGTAGACCAGGTGAGACTTTTCGGTAATGCTTCTACAAGGCACTTAGGGTAGGAAAGGCTCGGAGGGCGAGGAAAAGGCGGAGGCTGACAGGGAGGGCAGGGAACACTGCAACGGCGGCAGCGGCGCGTACAAATCCGCACTCGCCATTTTACTTGCAAATGACCCGCGCACACGGGTCGCGCCGCGATAGCGAGCGGAGGGCGAGGAAAGCTGGAGGCGGGGCGAGGAGGGGAGAGGAAAAGAAGAGGGGAGGGACCGGGCATGGCGGGTGGTGAACGGGGCTGAGAAGGGGAGGAGGATAAAAGGGGTGAAGAAGTGTGGGTGAGAAAGGTGGGAAGAAGGGCGGGGGGAGGGGAGGAAATGAAATATTTGCGAGTAACGTGCGCCGGGTTTGCACGCCTGTGGCTGGCAAGCGGATGTGAAGAAACGGGAACTATCTTGACGTGTGCCGCCGCATATCACGTTGCTCAGGTACCCAAGATGAAATAGGAGCAAGGAAAATTAAAGAAGTGTGGAGTGGGCTGCTTAAACGGACTCAAGTACTACTTTCTTTTACGAGGCGCGCTTAAATTTGCGAAGAGTTTCAACGTGAAAAACAGCTCTACGCAGTGCAAAAATATGGAATCAACACATCTCGAATTAAAAATTAAGATATGATTGACCAATGCAACTTGTGTTTTACATTTTATTTATTATATATTAAAATATGTTCATCTTTTATACAGTATTAATTACGTTTGCATCCGCACAGCGTTTGCAACCGCACAACAATTATGAATCACGTTGCCGCACAACAATTACGAATCACACGGGATAAGTTGCCTTGTGGAACTGTGAGAGAGAACTAGTCTTTGCTTGAAACTGACGCTTTAAAAATATTTGGTAATATTTATATTCGTACTTGAGTTAAAGTCTAGGCAGTCAGTTTTATTTCAGCAAACCTTATACCAATTTCACTAGTTTCTTACACGTTTTACATTTTCTTTTAGCTATTATTTCTCGAATACATTTATTCATTCGTAGGGTCTTTCATGTTTCTATTTGACTTTAAAAACAGGACGATTGAATGTAGTCAATTTAAAGGTAATCCATAATTAGCTTGCTTACTTTCTGAAACTTCATATTCACTAATACATTCCATTGTATCTAATTGTATTACATTCCTTCCTTAGTGTCACCTGTAGCAAACGAACGTTCTTGACAGAATATATATCAAGTATAAGCAAATTTACTTTCCAATACGACTACACGAAAAACAATTTCGTACCTACTATGTGTGATTCCATGTGAATGGACACTAAGAATATATATAAAATTTAAGGTTGCATCAACAGCTAGGCTATTAGCGACCAACTATAGATTAACGATATGGTTAACAGTATGATGTGATATGGTGATGGCGAAGGGTTATAAAACGAACAGAAATACATCCATGGCCGAGGCAGTATTCGAACTGCCTTAGCGATCTCGGTCATTCAGTCGTCAGGAAACTGAATATAGCTTCTTGAAAATATTACACTTCTCAGATACTTTATGAATTGTTTTTAAAAATTACCTCTTCCAACCGAGAACAGGAGAAGAACCGGGAACGGGTAAGGATGCTGTGGGGGTGGCAGATGACGGGCAGCTGATCGCCACCAAAGCGCCAATTACTTACCGGGAGAGGTGGCTCAGGGCATCACCAGATGTCACTGGAAGTCATCAGGAGGTCTTAGGTTCCAGTACCGACAATGTTAGGATTTTCGCGACTGGCTAGTTAGCTAGGTCTGAATCTGTGATTGTCTGGAGGAGACTTCTAGTGGCTGGGTGCTCTGTCTGGTAGTTTTCCGAGGTTTCTTCGATCAACACCAG